ATGCTAGGTCTACAATGCGAGGTCGTAAAGTCGTGAGTCGTAAGAATTGACCAATCACAATCGAATTTGAGGAGAATAATCGACTGTGATTAGTCAATTCTTACGACTCATGACTTTACGACTCGCATTGTAGACCTAGCATTATATGAAATTTTATATTTACTGAGATACTAACTTTTTTTAAATGTTAAACTCGCTTTTACACACGCCTCGCGTGACAGTTGATCAAATAAAATTATTAAACATTAGGAATTAAATAATTCTTATATATTACTGCAAGAAATATTTATTTGAATTTATCGATTGTTGTCGCAAGCAACTAAATACAAGTCGAAATTGCAATAACTTATTAATGATTTTCATGATTTTTAATTAATTTTCTTTTTTATAAAAATTATTAGCACATCGTTAGATTTTTCATCGTTGATATAAATAAGAGCTTGTATCTTTATCAAAGTCGATATATTAATTAATTAATTAGTTATTACGTTATTAGTATCTCAAAATCTATTCGTCGTATTTGTCAAATTATTGTAGTTTTCAAAATTTTAATACAATTGTCAGAGTTTTGGGTTTTCTTCGAGTTTTATAAACTTTGACATAGTTTATTAAAAAGATATCGTACGATTAAATGTAAAAATAGAAATCCGAAGATACGTAGGGTTTTATGTTATACAAATAGATCATAATTTTTCTATTTCGATTAGATTTAAGTTGAATTATAATACTTCGAAATTGTATTAATTGCTAAATGGAATTAACTGCTCGATAAAGTTAATGCTGTTTATATCTTTCATATATTTGTTAAACTTTATCATACAGCTAAATATTATAGAATACACACTACTCGCCGCGTTTCTACCTCTCTCTCATCAGGACCGTGCTTCTCAGTCACAATTTAAAACTGTAGAGAAATATGTGTTTCTATATCGTTTTCACACGACATAATATATATATATATCTACATATTTTTTACAATATACCGAAATTATCTGTTTTATGTATAACAAACGGAACACGTCCAAAAAGGTTCACAGAAAGATTAATCTGCTTTTTCAAAAAAATGTTACTTAAAACTTTTTTTTAATTTAACATTTTGCGTTATGTGATAAATGGTATTAGCATAAGTTTAAAATTGTTAAAAATTTAGGATTGTTGAGAGAGATGCGTCAGCAACTCATTGTCAGATTTAACGTGTCTTTTTAAACGCGTCTGTTAATGTCGTAAAGTTTTATTCATCTTGCTCAAGTTTCGCGAGTGATGAATAATACAATAATCAAATTACAATAAAATGTCATTATATTTTGACACAAGTACACTATTTCATAATCACTTATAATAATAATAATTCATATAAATAACAGCTTGATACTGTAGGCAACAATTAAAATGAGCTTCCTTTAAGTCCCTCTTGGTATAGCTTTCATTATCAGGAATCACTTAGAGTGATTTATCTGTTTACATTAACGCAAATACTTGTCAAAAATACTGCGTTTTGCAATATCCTTATGTGTCGCGCTCTTTTTTTCTCGACTACAGGTTCCTTGGAAATTAGATTTGAACTTTTGTGTATTGGCAATCAAGTCGTTGAAAGTAACATAAAATCATGAAGAATAAGATTATTTCATTCACATTTCTGAACTTATTAACTCATTGTAAATTACTGTAACCCTATGTAGAACCTGTAAATGAGAAAATCTGCGCAATGCTTAGATAGTCTGCATAATCATCATTATCGGTACTTTGAAAGACAGGTTGTGATTATACATCTAAGTATAGTAGTGCCTCCCACATACTAAATAAATTTATCTCCGCATATGAATAATGTATTAATAAAAACTGTTGTTCATAATATGTGATCGTTTCATGATAATACATAGACAAGCATAATCAATAATTTATGCAATAAATTATACATATATATATTATCTAATTACGTGCCAAATCGCAAAGTATCTTCTCAAAATTTTCTTTTTAAAAGAACACTTATAGAAGGTATGATTTTTATATATTATAATCAACTTAACTAAAATTTGACGTACTTTTTCTCTCTCAATCAGGATGCTTCGGAATTCTTAGCACCAGTGTATGACTTACGAATTTTTCTCACGATTCGTAGATATCGCGATTCATAATAAATTGCCGAACTATTTAAATCATTGTCGCAACAGTAATATATTCTATACCTTACTCAAATGTAAAATGCGTTATATCTTGCATTTATATTATTTTGTATTTATTTACCAATATAGAATAAATGTAGACACATATTGCACGTGTCGGATATACCTTAAAAATAAAGTTGAAGATCCAAGTCTTTTTACGTTTCTAACGAAACTTGTACATATTCGTGTACATCTTGATTTGAATCAGCGTTTGAAATCGGTATAATTCCAGTAAATTCAACTTTCGATGCTGTTCAATACGAGAAAATTTACTTTACGTCAATCGCAGGATTTCCATTTTTACGAATAACTCTCACGAATAACACTCACGAACACATTTTAGCATAACAATCATAGCAACGAAATACTAATTAATCAAAATTATACCGTTTCTCTCTACTGATTCGAATGAATACTTTGTTGTAAGTGGACCCTGGCATATATTATAATCGCAATTACAAGAAGCTCTTATTGTAGTTACATAATTTGCACCATGAGGTACATATTTAGTGTCACACAAAGAACTTCTTACATTCAGTCAAAGACTTGTCTTATTTTTATTTCGGTTTTTTTCCCCCAACAGTAACATTGAAAGCTCATGAAGGCTTTCAAACAAAAATATATATCTACTTGAAGCACTATAAACATTGAATTTATGTGTTGAGACAGCATTCGAGTAGATGCTCTTTTTTTTCATTTTTGTGTCCCCATCGTCAGTTCTATTACTTTCCGAAGCAATGTCCAATCGGTGAACATGGAAACGTTATTACATTGGATAATAAACTGTCAACATTAGTACACAACACTGAATGAGACAATCAACAGGCTAACAATATCCGCAATAATTTTACTGCCATAAGTTGGTGGAAAGCGTCTGCCCGGGTATCGCAGCAGTGGCAGGTTTGCCCGTCGTAGAGGCAAAGTTCATATCGCCCAGGGACATCTGCGACATTTGTTGTGGCAACTGAAACATAGATTATGTCATAAAAATGAGATTAATTTCGTTTAAATTATGTTTTGACAAAAATTTGTTACTTTATTTATATCCATGTCTTGTGGAAACTATGATTACGTAAATTGTGGAAACTATAATTACATAAATTTGGAAAATATGATTACATAAATTGCACAAGACACCGTTGAAATTTACATACCTGAGCAGCAAATGCAGTGCTTTGTTGTTGCTGTGCTGTTAAATTAAAGAAAGGATTGCTGCCGGGAGCTGGTTGAATATTCTGTGTCAGCATTCCACTCCATCCATTATTACTAGCAACATTACTTTGTCCTAATTGCATCATCTGTGAAATCGGAGAAAAAACGAAGTATAAAAAGAGACTAATTATTAACGCATTTAGAAATATCACGCAAGAAACGTTATGTTCATATACCATTTGAGGTGGCATTGTAATGGCAGCATTAGGTACACCATTTAGTTGATTCATTTGTCCTATATGCAAGCCTAAAGGATTGGCTCCTATAACACCTATCGAATTAGGATTCGCTATAATCTGATTTTGATTGACAGGTATCTGATTTGTAACCGGCATTTGCGTAGGAAGTTGGCCAAGTTGATTCAAAGGGCTTTGTTGCCCAAATGCACCCACATTAGGCATTTGCTGTTTATATGGTAAGGAGTGTTGAGGATACACTCCCCCTGAAATATATCACACGTTAGAAAACATAATGAGATATATTTAATTATATAATCTTATTAATGTTGCACATTTCTATCTTATGCATTACCTGAGACACCATAAATCGCTGGTTGATGACTCGGAGTACCGTATAATGCTAAAATACTGTCTTTTGTCATCTTGCTTTTTTCCTGAGGTAGCGGAGTCGGTTGGTTAAAGAAGCTTTCCTCTTCGCTTTTACTTGCGATAGTGGTTGTTTTACTTCCATTAGAAGCGTCATTTCCAGTTGAAGGTACCGAAGCAGGCGGTGCAGACAAAAAGGAAGAAAATACGTCGTCTCCAGAACCATTTACATTTGTTTGGTTAGTTGCTGGTGCATCTGTTAATGACAATGACGTGAAGAAAGCTCATATTTCATTAATTATAGTGACAGAATTTACACACACAGAATATACAATGCAATTTTCTCTGTACGAGAAGCAACTATACTCTGATACAATTACATTAAAGCAATAGTAAATGAGAACACGTTCTAAACATAGAAAAAACATACCAAGACCTAAGAGATCGAGGATTGCAGAACTTTCTTTTGTTCTGCCCAATTTAGGACTGACAGAACTTCGAGGTTTTGGCAATTGAGGCACTACTTCCGGCTTTTTTACAGGTGGAAGTACAGTCGATGTAGCTTCCGTACTTTCCTTTTTTCGTCTACGTTGTCTTTCGGCTTCTTCATCAAGTTCTTTGTCCCAATTTACCTATGAAAATTATTTATTAGTTAAAGCAATAAATATAATGTAATCTTCTGCATAAATAGATAAAAATGATATATATACGTATCTATATAACAAAATATCGTCAAGTTTTGGCATGTTTAACATTTATACATTTTTATATATAATATTATATACTGAAAGAGATAAGTATATTAAAACAGAATGTGATAATCGTACTTTTGGTAAAGGAGGTGGCACCCATTCTCTAGCTATATATTTTTTATGTTCATATTTTGCCCGAATAAAACTTTCTAGGCTGCAATCCGTTTGAGGTCTTCGAAAACTATCTGGAAGATTGGCTTCGTAGACTGCTCTGGCACGAGAATTGCCCATTTGTTGTAAACTCTAGAAAGTTGAAAGTTGAATGGTTAAATTCATTATACATTATAGTTAGGTATAGATTTTTAATGCTTAAAACATTCTTATATTAATTATAGAAGTTATATGATAACAAATAAAAATTTAAAAAAAGCAGAGCTTCAAAATATGAAATATTGCTTTTATTTGTAATATTTATAAAATGTTTAAAAAAAAATTTAAGAAAACATGTAAAGCTTATTAAAAAATAAGAATTAACCTTAGATATAATACGAAAAATATTATATAAAAACTGAAAAATTGAAATTTTTCCATAGAAAGCAAATATGCGTTTTTAGAAAAACTCCTGTCCACAATACAGAACAAAAATCAATACAGAACTAAAAATCACGAAAATGTTGCTCAAATTACATTGCATAACTGTATCCAATTCTATTTCACAATATGAGTTTACAAATTTTTAACATTTTTAGATATTTTTCGATATAAAAGTTTAATAAATAAACAAAATCATCTTCCATTAAAAAACTATGAACCATATGTCTGTTACGTACCACTACTTGTTCTGGTGTCCATGTGTCTAAATTAACAGACTTTACTTTGCTTATGTGTACCCCGAGGTTTCTGTGAATACCAGCACATCGAATACATAAGAAAATCCCCAAGTTCCAGCTAGCCCATCTTGGTCCTGCGAAATGTAATTTCATCAAAGACATAAATAATTCCATTATCTCTCATCCGCGCATTTCGCTTGGAGACTCGACGCACATGCAGTGCGATAAACAACTATCAATACAAGTATCACGCCGACCGAGCTATCTAATATTCATGACTATTAATTATAAGTTCGCAACACTCGATGACATATCAAGTCGCGCAACAACGGATGCGTTTTTTTCCACTGATCCTCGAAAGAGGGAAAGAGAGAGGCGCACAAAGAAACGCGCTCTGATTTTTTTTTTCGAAGTGATACCCGATTAAATTAATGTGAAATTCGGGAGGACCTTGACGATATTGGCGAGTGACAGCGCGCTGACAGGTATGTCACGCGGAAATTAAAAATCCATAACGTCTCGGTGCGTTATATAGAGCGGGTCGTTTCCGTGATCGATATCGACGAGTCGACCCCTCAGGAAGGAGCGCTCGGACGGCACGTCCAACGCGGAGGAACGACGCTCGAGATTCGAGGACTCCTCGAAGGGGAAGCGGAGATAGGCGCATCCGTGTCTCGCGGCCGACGGGGAACAAACCTTTCGCGTCGCAGTCGACGCAGTACTTGTTATCCTCGTCGCGTAGCATCTGCGTCAGCAGATTCTGACATTTTTCCTGGATCTGCTTGGCGCGCTCCTTCTCGTGACGGGACGTCATCGTCGCTGGGAGCGTCTTCGCGAAGGGATCGGTGACGGTGAGTTCGGGTTCGGGGACCACGCGCGACCGCGACACCCCGGTGTCGCCTCCCCACGATAACGCTGGACAAGCAGGACAAGAGCGCGGCGCGACGGTACGACCACGTAACGGATTCCGCACCGCGTTGGCGGATGCGGAGATCCCATTTGCCCCGGCAGCAGAGTCGCGCGGTCGACGTGGTATCATTCTGGTCGTAGGTAAATTTCACATCGTTTATCCAGCGAGATTACCGACTGATCCTCCTACCGACAATTAGCAATTATAGTATTCACGAACACGAGGGATTGTTCATGGTGATTGCTCTTCCACAATCCACCATGAGATTATTTTAAAACTGACTGCGATCGCGGATCGACTGAATTCTATCTTATCTCTGTTATCTCTGTTATCTGGTTATCTCGTTATCCATGCGATGGCCAATCAGCTTGCGACTTTTCTGTAAGAGCAGAATTTGCATATACATATTATAATATATATATATGTTTCTCTTGGGAATGATTTCAAGGATCAAGCCAAAAGAATAAAAATCGATAAGCCGATACGAGGTTATCTATCGTAAAGCTATCAAATCCGCCTGCGCATATACCTGCATGACTAGGCCTCGTATTAAATTAAATTAATTTATTTATTTTACGAATTTATTTAAACTATCAATAAAAAAGGATATTTTTTCGGAATATTTTAAATGTTAAGTGTACGTGTTAAAACGATCAGAAGTATTTTTTCATTCAAATTTTTCGCTACACTGACATCACGATCTAACTTGACCGTTCTTTCAGGCCTGGTTCTTTTAGCTGAACTTCTTGCACGATTCATCTTTCCTCTTTTTCTTTTCTCGTTGGAGGGAAAAAGAGAAAAGATGAACTGTGCAAGAAGTTCAGCTAAAAAGAACAGGCCTTGTTTTGTTTCATCTCCAGTGCAAGAGATTTTATTTTAAAAGAGTATATGTATTGTGACTCATACATCAAGATGCAATATTTTTTTATTTTTCAAAGCTGCGTTACGTTGCACCTTCTCTGCATTCAAAGATGAGCAGATTAATTTTAATGTCGATTAACTTACTTTTTATCTTTATTTTTTCTAATTCTTAAAACTTGAAAAAGTAATAAGTTAAACCGAAATTAAAGTTAATCTGCATTGATAGAAATAGACATAAAGGAAGATGAAAATGCAGCTGCAACGAAAACCAGTTTCAGCTGTGCACGTGAAGTGCACGGATTATTTGACGGTTTTCGAAGCGCCGCGCATCGCGCCATTAGCGCCGATCGCATCGGTCTGAACGTGGCCGCGGGCGGCAGTGGCGTCCTCGGACGGCCACCTCCGCCGCCACGGTCGGCGGTCGGCCATGTTGCTCCGTCGCAGCGGTCACAGATGGCTACGTGAAAGTCAACAACCGGTTCCGCCGGAGTAGCAGTAGCAGTCGCAATCGAGATTCGTCGGGATAATCGTTCTGCCGCGTTTACCGTCGTCGAGTTTTACGTTTACTCCGCGTCTCCTTGTCCGGTTGTCCGGCGTGGGTGCCACGCGTCGTGACTTTCCCCGATCTTCGATATCGCGTCTCTTGCCGCGGCTACCGCCTCTCCCCGTTGTCCCGTTGTCCGGCAACGTATCGCCGAGTCGTGATCGCCGCCGATCGCGGAGTAGTCGCCGAGGATGAGCACCAACAATGTGCAGGCGCTCTTTGCATGTTCCCGGTGCTTCTCCAGGCATCCCTTCGAGGACCTATCGCCCGGTCAACAATTGTGTAAGGTACGCACACCGCGGGCTCCGTCCGTTCCTCGTCCGGTCTCAAATCGACGCGACGAATCCGTGGCATCGAGAGGATTCCGGAAGGATTCCTCATGTTGCTCGAATCTTCCGTGGGACGGAATGTGACTTATCACGTGCCGTAGGGATGAAATTCTTTCCCTCGATAACATTTTCCACGACGCGTCATGGGTCGATGGGTTTTGTGTAAATATGTTGCATAGTAACTGAGGAGAGGAAATTTCAATTCGATTCAATAAATTGCAGTTTTAGCACTCGGATAATTTTAATTTTTTATTGTGCGGTATAAAGCGTGATTACCTGCGAGAAAATATTGTTTGAATTGAGAAATTCGAAATACGTGATTTAAAAATATTTCTTAGGATATTAACTTTCTTGTAAATTATTATTAAAATTATATTTTTAGAATATTTTACTACGGAGTAAATAAATGAATAACAGCAAGTTATAAAAGTTGCAAAAATATTAGAAGAATATGAAAAATTGAAATAAAAATATTTAATAAATAAACAATATTATTGTATTTGTGATGATTTTAGTTTTCTTTATTGCATCGTAGCGCGGTTGTGAAAAAATGTTTTTTGGATTAAGAAATTTGAAATACATGGCTTAAAAATAAAAATTTTTTAAATAGATTATTATCAAGATTATTTTGTTAGAATATTTTACACTATATTGTAAATGTGTAATAGTAAATTGTAAAAGATATTGAGAATATGAAAAGTTAAAGAGATACTGAATAAATTAACAATATTGTTATAGTTTTTATAATTAGAAAAATTTGTTGTTTACATAGGAATGCAGGGGAGCCTTTCCTGTAGTAAAATGTACGTACTGCAGATCAGAATTCCAGCAAACCATGTAAGTGAGAAAACAAATCGTTTCTGTTCTCTCTTATGAAAATTGCCTATAAAATGAAATAAAATTGTATTGCAATTATGTCCACAGAAAAGGTAACACAAGCACCATATGTAAAAAGTGTGAGCAAAATGTCAAGTCTTATGGAAAGCCGTCAGCTTGCGAGTACTGCAATACCATTGCTGCATTTATCGGTAGCAAATGCCAACGGTGTACAAATTCGGAGAAACGCTATGGACCGCCGGTCACGTGCGAGCAATGCAAGCAGAAGTGTGCCTTTGACAGACAGGATGAAGATAAGAAGGTAATGCAAAGGCGGTATGCGCTTGTAGCTCTCAATATTTGAAGGAGACGATCTCTAGCTGTGCGATATGTATCTGCCGATATAAAAATCAGATTTTATACTGAGAACTATTATCTTTTTTTTCCCTAATGTTTTTTCTTTTTTGTTGTTTATATACACTGACACAACACTTCCGTTTCTCTAATGGTGTGTCTCCACCTGCGAGTAAGAACTCTCGAGAGCAAAAAGAAAGAGAGAGAGAGAGATACTCTCGAGAGTCTCTCTCTCTTTCTCTCTTTTTGCTCTCGAGAGTTCTTACTCGCAAGTGGACACGCACCATAAGAATATACATACTTGATATGAATACTTGACTATATTTCCCAAATTTGGCATACTGTGAATTACTACAATGTGACTACTTGATCTCATTCTTTAGAGTTTGATACCTCACGTATACCTTGAACAATAATAAATACTGTGTTCTAAATTTATGTATGTAATAAATTAATTTTTAGTGAGATTTATATACACATATTTCTTAGCAAACTAATAAGACTTTAAATACAACACTTTATTATCCCTCTTATTGTTCTGAATAATTAAGAGTAGCTGTGTATGCTTTTCACTATGATATACTTATATTTTCTGAGTCCATACACATTTGACTTCCTCTGTCACGACTTCTTTTCTTTTTTTAGAGAGCAAATAAGCATCAAGTGTAATTTCTACAGCTAAGACCTCTCTCTCTCTCTCTCTCTCTTGTTGGTACATGGTAATGAATTTATGCTACCGCAATGCTACTTAATCGGTTACGGTGATGTTTTGGTTTTTAGGTAGACGGCAAGTTATTATGTTGGCTGTGTACACTGTCGTACAAACGAGCGTTGGCAAAGACAAAGCAATCGGACGCAGAAAGAAGAGCGCATATGAAATTGGCGCAACAGCGGGCTGCGAAGCACAAAGAACAAAAGTAATTATTCAAATACATAATATCACAAGGTAACTCTTGATAGCCTTAATATTGCGTGTACATCACAATTTTTTTCCAAACATGTCCCATGCGACATGCATATTCGATAAATACACATTTTAAACTGTACCAATTAAATTCTTAATTATTTATCTTATGCTTTCTGTTGCAGACTGAAGGGCCACAATAAAAGACCGCACAGAGTCGATGTGACAAAGCTGCCGCCGCAATCCGAAGGCGGAGACACAAACGGTCCTACACCCGCGAAAGCGGTACGGATGGCCGGCGTTCACGACCCTCATGATCCGAACAGCTCGGATCACGTGGTAGCGGTCACGCAGCTCAAAGAAAAGATAGCTCATCTTCAAAAGCAAATCAACCAGAAAGAGGGCCAATTACTAGCAAAAGATAGACAAGTAAGTGAAAGATTTTCTGGATGTTCTGTAGAAACGATTCAAGTGGATAATGCGTAAACAACATTTTGATTATAGATTACTGAACTGAAGGCGAAGAACTTCACGTCCGAAACAGAATTGCGCAATAAGATGAAAGCTTCGGAGAAAGAGTACGAGACAAAAATCTCCAACATGCAGCACAAGATCTCTAGTTTGTTGAAGGAAGTAGCGTCATTATCGAAAACGTCCAAGCGAGGTGATAGAGTGGCCGCCACCAAAACGGAAGCTGGGACCAACAGTGGGAGTGGAACAGACAGTCCCGTACCTTGATAAGGTAGGTATATCTGAATTTTGTCGTCGTCTTCAGAATGTTCGCATTTTAATGGAACAAATTAATATGTATTAAACGAACTCGCAATAGCGACATAAAGTCGCGTCACCCGATATATCTTGCAAATGAAAAGCCCCATTTTTCATATTGTTTCCAGAGAATTGGTTAGCTGTGACAACATACTCAAATGATCGTACCCATATAAAACATGCATGATTATACATTATGCATATAGTTAATTGTTTCCATTAACAAGGCGAAATTGTATTATTTTTCTAATTACTATAGGAATGTATATTATTCTCTCAATATGCATCAGAGGAAGGTCGTATTCGTATCTCCGTTTAGGGGAGATCGATAATGCAAGTAAAAAATTTATATATGATAATTTAGAAATAGCTTTTTCCCCCCCTTTATTTTTCGGTGACTGCCAGTTTTGTGCGACTTGTTCGCCGGAGGTATTGATTTTTATGGCGAAAGACTAGCGAAATTCCAATGACACAAATCCCGTTTTATGCCACGAAGTTATACGAAACCATTGGTGGGGATTTCGAGGCAAACTCGGATTGATTGTACATGTATGTGGAAACAATAAGTGGCAGCGTAGCTGTTGCATTTTATTATTTATGATAATGATGATGTAAACAACGCTGAATCAGGATATTATGACTTGTAGATCAATTTACAATAAAAGCTGAAAAATTTATTGTCCCATGGTTCCACATATCCAGTTCACGTCCATGTCCACGTCGTTCGTTATTCTTTTTTCCTCGAGTGTGATCGTTATCGTGACTCTTGCATCATTTCAAGCATGAGCGGTATGATATAAGGTAAATGCCTGGACACGCGTACTTGTATCTGGACATTTTTATCATTTCAGTCCTTAAATAAGTTATAACGCGAATTAAAATCAAGGAATCAAAGATAAAAATATTTATCTTGTATTTGTATTATATTTTTATCTTTGATTTTAATTCGCGTTATACTTAGGTATTTAAAAACTAAAATGATAAAGGTGTCCAGGCATTGGTACATTTACCTTAAATGATATCGGATTATAACGACATATATGTAGGTGTGGTAGTGATATGTGCATATAAATATCCAACAGCCATATATTTATTCTTTATTTTAAGAAACAAATGCTAATTGAGCATTACCTATTCAATAATTATAATGATAATAAATGCGTAACAATTTCACTATATATATATATGTATACGAAGTGTAAGGATAATTAACATTTAATTTATAGTCGTTTAAATACGTACGAGCGCGTGCACGCGTGCGCGCGCGTGTGCGTGCACGGTACAGTTGGATCGTTATCGTTTAATTATTACGAGATGATAAGAACTAAATATTGCTTGTTTGTTCTTGAGGCGGTTAGTCGCCCTCGCGCTTGTCGCTTCCTCTCGATATTTCTCTACTTTCAGCGTATGTATTTACATGGTCTTCACCGTTTTGCCTCTTTACGCGCTGCGCTGTGTGCTGCTCCCTTCTCCCGTATCGCTATTAGTGTTCAAAGTCCTAAGCACCTAGGTTTCTCCTCTAGCTCCGTTTTAACTTCGTTATTCGTAATAGTGCTCTCAAAATACAGGCAAGGCGGGGAATCGAAGGCAATGTACGGAATGATGCTCGAACACCGGTCGTGAAGAACGTCACTAGGAATCGCGACCGTCACCAAAAGAAATTTTTCCATTATTGCTTGTAATTGCGATATTATTGTGTAACGAGTCCTGAAAAAAATGTTTTCCTAGGTCGTTGCTTCCACTTTGTCTCGCATCTAATGTGCTTTCAGCGTCGTTCTGTAAGGTGGGCACATTATAGAACGATACTGAGAGCACGTGCGCTGCGTGCGCAGATTCCTCATACAACATCCGAAAAGTTCCTGAAGCGTGATCAGGGCAGCGTCATTAGAATACTATCGCTAGTACAGCGTACGCTACCTTGTACAGAAACTTTTTCATTGCTCGGCATCCCGTAGAATGCCCGCGAATCGTCCACATTGCCTGGTTATTAAAGGGTATATCAGCAAATCAGTGTAAAGGCCTTGTGAATCTACGATACATCGTCTCGCGTTCGATTTCGCGAGACCCAGTTCGAACGCTCGTTAAACTTATTACGGTATAATTGCCGGGACAGTCGAGGAGGAGACTCTTCGTTCGAGTGTGTTCGACGGTGCCCGGCGGGTAGATGATGAATAGTACGAAGGTAATAGGTAATTCGGGGTATGGAGAAACGAGGATCTCGTCAGTTTCGTAAGGATCTCGCACGCGAGCACCGCGGTTTCGGCATAGGGGAGAGAATAGTGGTCGCGTATTCCCGCTACGTCCCGAAAGATGAAGGATTCAGCTAAAAACGGGATTTCTTTGGATTTAAATTGTTGCGGCGTATAACGTCGCAACGTCTGGACGCGAGGGGGAGATTCTTGCGAAACCGAAGCCTCGGGGGATGATCTTGCGAAGGAAGCCGAAATTTAGAACGATAATGTTAATACACTCCTGCATTCTTGAAAATCGCACATTCTCTCACTCTCTCGCTCTCGTTTTCTCTCTCTCTCTCTCTCTCTCTCTCTCTCTCGCTTCGTACGGAATCGTATCGCGATGCACGTGACTCCTTAAAAATCTCACAAACGCTCGATAGCCGTGTGTATATCAGTCTGCGATACGTCCTTTAGATTAATATCTTTACGGAACGACGACTCGGAGATCTCGATATCGTGTTTAAAAATTCTTATCGTTCGTTAAAAAATTCTCTCCGTCCCCGCCCTTCCGCGATGACGAAACCCCAGAGTCGTCCCTCAGTAAGAGTGAGTTGTTTCGTACCACGTACGGTAAGCTGCGCTCAGAATTAACTCGTTCGATCTAGCTTAGCGTTAATGGAAGTACGAATTCGCCGAGTTTGCGTAAAATCAATGGAAGCTGCGGGAAAGAATGACAGCATTTTCGACAATTCGTTAATTCTAGCTTTTAAACTTTCTATGCTACAGAGGAAGCACGACGCAATCGAAGAATTGATTCGCGCACGCGAGAGATTTGAGAAATCATTTCCGCGAAGATTTAACTCGATTTCGAAATATACATTTTTCTTAAGAAACGCCGTAATTGCACAATAGTTCTCTCAAGACGTTTTGACTAGATTTCCTATCATAACTTCCGATTTTACGGGCGATTGTCCTCTCCTTCTTTAAATTTTGATAGTTTAAAGCTACGAGTATCTTCAACAAACCGCACGATAATAAGGAGATATTTTTTTGCGATCGAAACCCAACTTATACAAAATACAACCTCCTTTAATTAATGTGCATTAAAGAAAGAAAGATTCAGCATAGCTGAAATAAATAGAAACATGCAGCATGTGGAAGCTAATAGCAATATTACAAATACGTATATGTATTTTTCGAGGATGTATTTATCGAAGGCCGAAAAAAATACGGAGATAATAAACGCGATTAAAAATTGCGGCGCACGATTTTACGTATATGATTATTTATATCACTTTATTCCGTAATTAAACCCCGAAAAGAGCGAAGTCTCGTCATTGCTAGCTATGGACCATTATATACCGACGAGAAAATAAATTCTCGACGTAAAATTTTGATAAATATTAACACGATCATTATCGTAAATCTAAAATCTCTTGCTTAGGAATGCTAAAAGAAAGGGCACTTTCAATGTGCCAACAAAGTTATAGTATATAACTTATATAAATGCCGATCGTGTTCACAAAACACGAGTATAACACAAGCGCACGTCGATAGTTTCAACGTTCTTTTTTACACACGCATTAATAAATTAATATCATTAATAAAATCTTTAATATAAAATTTACTTCGCGGAAGTTAACATAAAGCGCAGTCTACCGTCCGCCAACCGACGACGACGGTATGCACGCATGTATGTGCGTATACACACAAGTACACATACGCATATACATGTGCACACACGGATGTATATACACATATATAGGTATATATATTTATATGTATATATGTATAAAGGTATTCATAAATTAGAGCTCCTTATATTACTTCTTTTTAAATTATTGAATAATTAATAGTAATATTAATATATATACAGGTACAGGTCTCGTATAGTTGCAGTCGTGTCGTCACTAGTTGTTCGAGTCTTACTTGTTGTTTCTTGTTGTTGATCGTTCGCATATTACGCGAATATTATGACGGGTGCCGACAAAATCCGCCATTTTACACACCGACCTAAAATCTTAGCACGTCGAAGACTAAAATTTCGTTTTTTCAAGTTAGTTTTCGCAATGTATTTAACGCCGTGACAATCATCGCGATCTTCTGATAATATATAATACAATCTTGCTAAATTATTTGAAATTAATCTGTCTAACAGAAAAAAAAACTTTGAATCAGACTTGAATCACTTTTGCAAAATTGAAATTAATTTTCTTAATAGCTTACATTTTTAATATTTACACAATTAAAATTGATTTTTTAATAGCTTCCAATTTTAGATTTCCATCACATAAATACAGCATTGAATGAATTAAGAAATAATAATACATCTTTTTGTGCATCTTTTTACACAGATATTTTTACACGGAGAAAAGTAAAATCGCAATGTAAAAAACATAAAAAATTACTGTATAAGATTATTTAACTGGAGGCATTTTAGATTAACATTCATTCGAGTCATTGGGAATTCATTCATCATGATGCGTCTTCGACGTGCAATTCTAAAATGCATCGTGGAAGAGTAATCGAGAGATTCGAGTGACTTTGGTACCATTGCTTATATACGAGCATCCTCCCTATTTCTCCTGAAATGACAGTATTACGATCTTCTCAAGCGATTAAACTTAATTATTTCGAACACCACTCTCCCTTTCGTTGATAACGCTACGATAGAAAAAATATAGAAACGAGTATTTACAAGGATAATTTACAAGGAAGGAACTTTATGCGCGTTTCTAGACAGAACTTCGTCGGTTTTCCTGGGAAAAATCTATCTTCCCTTTTTTTCACATCATCTTAGGTATTAAAACAACAAAGTGTCCGCTAAAAAATTAGGCGGTTGTTGATCAGTCGATTAAACAACTTCTATTATACAATTAACGATGATCGATCACTCTACGGATTTATTACGATTTTCTCCTACGTTTTCTCTCTTTATTTTGAGAAATCATTCACAAATCATCTCAAATTTTGATGAAATATGGTCGGTTTTATAGGGAGAAAAAAAAAACAGATTAAATGAAATAATTAAAATCTAGTCTTTTCTTTATTTTTACTAACATTTAAGTTTAGTTTTTAAAATTATTCTAACGTAATTTAACATCAAAATTCCAGAATTATAAAAATGAAAGATGATGAGAGTAACAAAGAACATTTTTTAAATATATTATTTTATTATAGTAAAAATCATTTTTCGTCTCCAGAATGGAGACAACAAATAGAGTTTAAATTCTCAAAATTTAGAACATTAATAGAAACTTATCAAAATTTTTTTATCGTTTCAAAAATCTACCATAATTTCATCGAAATTAAGAAGGAAAACTTGCGAAGATTTCGCGCGCGACATTATATGCTCTGTTCTTTACTGCCATTTCAGAGAGGGAAAGCTCCTATCTCCGGTCTCTTTTCTGGTCAGTTGCGAGCGACTCTCTTACGTTTCCACGATTGCATTTTGCGCCCGAGCGGAAGGGGGCTCATACCCCATCATGCGACTTATGTAATTATGTAGCATTATGTGATGTACTTATGTACACTCGATAATGTGTGGCTGGGATGTTTCTATGACGCTCGGTCGGCCCACGGAATTTTCCAGGTTGTGGAGTGACGTCGAGTGCGGGCCATGCGTCGATCCATGCCTGTCGTAATTATCGATGTGCTCCAACTCGCATTCCTTGGGCATATTTCCTGCAAGGATATGCCCGTCCAGTATTAGCCTCATCCCCTTATCTAATACCTAACGTATTTATCATTCTATACTTTTGAATAATCGATCAATTTTTTCCGAGGCCCTAAACTTGTCGATAAGCTTGCCTATTAACATGTATCTTCCTTATGATTGTCTTAGCGACGTGCAACGACGAAAGATGAGCTGTTTCTTCATTCTACTTTGATTGTAGACCTATCTGATGTAGATCTAGAGTTCGTACTTACCAACATTCATGTCAGGACCGTACTCGTAATACGTTGGCGAACCCACGGCCGCGGCAAGTGCAAGCTCGTCCTCGATGTTATTTGGTCTGCAGCTCGTTGTCTTCCAATGGGTTCTGAGGCCGCTCGCGCTAATGTATTTTTTGTCGCAACCCTGGCAAGTGTAGGGTCGTTCGTTTGTGTGCAATCTCTTGTGCAGTTTCAAATGAACGAATTGGGTGAACTTGGCGGGGCAAAGGTCGCAGGCGTACGGCTTTTGACCGGAGTGCAGTCTAAGGTGGGTCTTCAGATTCGAAGTCGAACTGAACCTCTTCTTGCATATCTCGCATTGGTGCGGCTTTTCACCTGAGGACGCATTGACAAATAAATGTATAAATATATTATTGTCTAAAATATTTGGCAGGAGATCTGATAATAATATATTTTGTGTCTTAATCGAACTCTTGATAAGCAAATCTAGTTTTTCACAATAACACCTCCTTTGTTTTGTGTGTAGGAAATATACATACAATAGATGTGAACGAAAGAATAAAAAATATTGTACATATCAATTAATTATCTGATATTACTAATCATGTTATATAATATTATGATTTGCAACATAATGCCTTTATTAGATTTTTGCAAACTCGATATACTGTACATATACAAAAAGAAAAGTAATTGTTAAATATTAATTAAAAAAAAAACAATAATTTATAAAGATTCTAAATAAATCTACTAAGCGCTTTACATAGCAAAGATCTTATGAAATACAAAGACGGAGGTACTACTTTGATTGTTATTCCGACAATTACATCAAGACTAATACTCGGATTAGTAAGCTTACCAGTATGCACGAGATGATGTTTCTGGAGGTGCGCGAGTTGTGTGAAGCTTTTGGTGCAAACATTGCACTTGAAGGGTCTCTCGCCGGAGTGCGTCCTCAGGTGTACCTTGAGATTCGAGAGCTGACCGAAGGTTTTACAGCAGACGTTGCACTCGTAATGCATCTTGCCGTCCTTCTTTTTGAGCGGATAAGGCAGCGACCTATAGCCCCTCGAGCCTTGAGAGTTGGGGCTGAGGGCGCCGCTCTGGGAGCAACCGTGATCGTCCGGCGACAAAGAGCTCGCCGGCGAGTATCTGTTGAGAGATGACGAGGAGTTGGGATGAATGGTGAGACCTGGATGGTGGCCGAGATGAAGATTGTGCGTGCCAGTAATCAACGCTTGGTTACTGTCGATTTGCATCGTCGACGAGGTGGGTAGCTGATGGCCACCGCTGCTGGTGGCCTCCAGTCGCCTGCCGTCCGTGGTCCTCTCGTAGACGACGTTGCCACTTGGCGTGGGCGAATAGGCGCTGCAATTGATAGACAATGACGCGCCCATGTTGTGATGCAGCGAGCCATTTTGATGACCGTACAGACTACCGTACGGACTGTAGGACGAGGGCGACTGGATCGGCGAAATCGGCGAGACGCTCTGATTGCTGCTGCTGCTACTACTACTGCCGGCAGAGTTGGGGTAAACCGGACTGGCGGACTCGATCTGACAGCCGGCGGCCCCCGAGCTGCCGGAGTAAAGAATCGTCGTCGGGGTGGGTACGCCGTTCTGACTTGACGACGGCGACGGCGATTTGGTCTTCCGCTTGGGCGGGCAACTGTTCGTCGTGGACGCCGAATGCGGGCTGCTGCTGGACGTCAGCATCGTGCTGGACGAGAGCACGCTCGTGCTGGAATGTATGCTACCGCCGGCGTTGCTGGACGAGTGCAAACTTCCGGGATGCGGCGGCAGGCTGCCGTTGCTTCCGCCGGTGCTCGAATGCAGTCCTCCTCCCGTGCTGGAGTGCAGATTGCCAGTGGGGCTCTGCATGCTGGATAGCACGCCGCCGTTGCCGCTGGTCGAGTTCACGCACGAGTCTGTTTGTATGGGCAAGTTTGAGCTGGAGTCCGGGCTGCAGGGTAGAATGTTTCCGTAACGATGGGACTTCTTGTAAGAATACGCCATCTCGGTGGGGCTGGAGGGTGGCGGCGTCACTGAGTCTACGTGAGTTTGATGATGCAACTGATGATGCTGATGGTGCTGCTGCGAGCCGCCATTGTGATGATGATGGCTGTGGTTATTGTTATTGTTGTCCGTGCTGTTACGCAGCAAAATGTTTTCCAGGATAGAACTGCTGGGATTGGCTAGGTAGGTGGGTCTGCCGGACATCGGCAGATTACCACCCTTGACCTCCGGCTCGTAGAAGGGTTTCATGTTCTTCTCAGATATCTCATCCTCAGGCACGGTCGACAGCACCGTGCTCTTCTGCAGGATGATAGGTGATACCGGCTTCTGGAGTTCCGGGGTGACCGCCCGGCTGGACATCTCCTGGTCTTTGTCCTTCGTCGGGCCGTCAGCTATACCTTTCGTCGCCTGGAAGTTACCGTAGGTCTTGGAGATCTTGATCTTGACTTTTCTGTACTCGTTCTTCGCTGCAGTGTTGTCTTGCTTCAGAATCTCATCGTTGCACACTGACGATTTGGCATTCTTACTAAAATCCAGCACGTAGTTATTTTCACTGTCAGACTCACTGCTTTCCTCGGGTGGTGTCAGGATTTCGTCGTGATAGCCGTTTGAGTGATAACCCTCGTCTGACCTCACGGAACCATCCGTTGGCGTCATCTGACGCCTCTCGTAGATCGAAGAGTCTTTTAGTGGCGATATCACGTCGACGGCGGGTGAAATTTCCGTGGGTAGCGTTGATTGTTGTACTTGTTGTCCTGAAAATAATTGATAATGAATATATAAAAATCCTTTCAATAATAAATATCGTTATACAGTGAAATTACGAAACTGATCAAATTGTACTGTTGTTACGAATATCTTTTGAAAATTCATGAACGAATATATTTGTACCAAAATCATAGATATTTACTTGTTGTATATGTCATGTTAATATTAAAAGGTCATTTTCATCGATTGCCATCTTCGAATCAGTTAATTGTAGATCATCGTTACATAGTACGTTTGATCAATTACGCGAGTATATTTAAATAAAATTGGATACAACCCATACAGCATAGAAAGATTACAATTCAGACATATGAACAAAAAAAAATGTTGCCTTTTATTTATTTCTATTTAAATAAATTTTACTATTTTATTCCACTACGGTCGAACGATCGTATTGTGAATTTATTGGAATCAAACAACCTCTTTATTATGAACTTTCCCCTCAATATACATTCTCATTCCGATGACATATGCGCAAAATAAAATTTAACATGATCAGAAACAAATGTAATAAAGGGTGAAAAAGCAGCACAGAAAAGGTTCATTTTACGAGCTTTCAGTTCACAACACAGACGAGTTTACAAAATAGCATTTTATTATACGGACATTCGATTGCACTATATAGATTTTGGAACAATTCTCGTACGTATCTATTGTCTTACACTTACCTGCTTGTTCCGTGCTGCTTATAAGTTATGCTAGGATTTTATGTATAAGACTTATTGGAGATATATAGTCGAGTGCACAATTACGTAATTGTCGTAGTTTACTGTAACTTTGCTATTCTGTATGTTTAACATATTTCTGTAACATATTATACTGTAACTAGCAAAATTGCTTCAATATAGCTGAAAAGTTCTCTGCTGTATGAGTGGACACAGATGATGGCACATATAGCTTCTCTTACAATCTTAATTTGAATTAAACTGTATCATGACACCAGTTATTATTTACGTAATTATAATTTCTATTTTATAGAGAAGATTAGTTATAAACACAGATATGTCATAAAATATTTTGATAGAAATGCATGAATAATCAAGTGAAATATAATACAAGTTATAAACGATAACTCTCGCGATAGCTTCTTTATAACACTAATCGTTTTAATTTGTTACAAATGTCAGCGGTATATTGAGATTTCGGTTTGCGCATTAAATTTCCATATGATTTAATTTCAGCGTTATATTAACTTGAGGTGAATATAAATCTACTTACGTATTCTCTGAAGCATCAGCTCACCGGTGAGCGGATAATTGAGCCTTTCCGCGAATTCCCTGCAGTACCAAACCAACAATTCTTGATGCGGTAATATCGGCTTGATCGTGTAAAAATAAATGTTCATCTGAAACACGGGTATAGCAACAATTGTGAGCTTTTTCCCTGCGCGTATAATCTAGACGTGATTAAAAATATATACTTCTTCGCAAGATGCGCTGCACAAAATTGCTTTACCTTATACTGGCATGCTATTAGGTTTTGCGATTCGGACGAGTAGGCGGGATTCACGTAACGCATCCAATTCGATTTCTGGACGTCATAACCGTCGATGTAATAGAACAGCTCGTTGTTCTTGTATACCTGGACAATGCGAAAATCATTTTTATATTCGCGATAATTGAAACGGTTCCATGAGAATATCATTACGATTGACGAATTTTTAATTATAGGCATGCATATTCGTTGTTTATAGATATGTTCCAATCTCATGTTCCTCAAAAATATAAACATTAAAAAAATGGCGTAAATTTTTAAATATCTAAAAATGAATATCTAAATTCATTCTTAGAGTTTGAATAGCATTTTTAGCTGACGCTAAACATTGCCAGCCCATTCTTAATAATGTAACATGTTGTCAGTAATTATTAATGTATTTTGCTAATGACCATGATTATTAAAGGTGCTTGAAACTATTTTTTCAATCAGGGTTACAATTCAAAAGTTTACAATCCAAATCTTTATATTTATTCTGTATAATCTTTTTCTATCGCAAGTACGCACAAATTTTCTTATTATGATTATGAAACGCTGAATTATTACTACAAGAAAACCCTAAAAAACTGGTTAACGTTCGCGTTCGTTAGATCTCATCGCGATTTGTATGTATCGTGCGAAGATCGTAGAGGAACCAAGTAATCGTCGTAACGAATTGATAAGTTACGAGACATCAACGGCTTCTCGCGGGTTTCGCTTTAAGGCTCGCTAGATCGGTTGAAACCAGTTTCTGGTCTTTGCTGGCTTCTCCTTCCATCTTAGCTTTTTTCTACGTTTTCTTTCTTTTTTTAATTTTTACCGGCGTTCTGTCGAATCTATCTACGTTAACGGTCTCGGCGAAGAGTTATTCTCCGCGTAATCTGAAAATATCTCGGTTGAATAAGAGATGTAAAATTGGCCTTACCCGCCAGAAGTACTTCCGGTTCGCGTCTGCCGGTACCGAATCCTTCGTGTACACCTGGCCGACCAGAGGGCCGAAACGTGTCCCTTTGGGGATGTAACCGGTGCTCCACACACCCAACACCTGTCACATACGTAATTTCCGATTAATCGAGTCGACTGAAATTGAGGGATGATGCATATTTGAAAGCTTAAATATCAATTTAGCCTCTTAGTTCTTATCTCGTAATTTATACATCCACACATCAAATTTTATAATTGAAAATTCTCTCCAATAAGATTTAATATTTTATAACTTGATCAATTTTTTATTTTTTGATAAAAGGTACCGTAAAAATTTGCAAAAAATAATTAAAGTAAAAAGGATTAATAAGTAGTTATAAATAGTTATTTGCATTTATTATATTAAATAATTTGGAATCATAAATCAATTATGTAATATTCATATAATGAATTCGCAACTCAAAGTTCAGTAGAGAAATTGCGCTGCCGAAAAATTTTTCTTCATGTCTTTAAGCTTCGTTTTCAGGAAATCGCAAAAACTACCAAAATGTATGAATGATCGGTGATTGGTAAAAGCGTATTGTTTGCTTCTTCCGTTATTCTCATTGCCCGTTCTCATCCTATCGCAGCGTTGTGTTAAAATACGCGGATATCGGCAGAAGATAGAACCTATTTTCATTTCGACTCAGAAATAGAATAGAATTCACCCTATTGCATAGAAACGTCCATTCGGCAAAACTAATTTAACTCTTCGGTGCTTTCAGTCCAGCGCGCTCTTCCGATGCTTTTGTTTCTCTTTTGACAAACGGAAGCTCGACTGACGAACGTCGATTAGCCCATCGTGCGCTTCGCCTCAATGTATTACATCGTTGCGATTCGCGAACGTTTCGGCTTCTATCGCCAGACTCGAAATTTCGTAAGTGGCGTAGAGAAGCTTCGAGCAAAAGTTTCGCGCCGATTACACCGAACGTTCTCGATTCTCGCCGCGCTGAGGAAAGTGTAACGCGATTCGACTTCGCCTCTAGGTCATGCCTCGTAAGTTAATTAGCCTCTCGTCTCTCGGTCAAGTTTGATTTCATGGCGTCGTTCGGCCAACGCCTTTTCATGCTACATATTTGTCACATCTATCTAAAACCTATCTAAAAAACTTATTTTCCTTTATCAGTCATTGAAATTCATGCATTTATCTTCCATTTATCTCCCTTCACAAGAAAACTTTTGATGAGAAATTGAAAAAATTGAAAAAAATTATTACTTCCTAAAAATTGTGACATATATACTCTGTTGAGTAAAACCAAAGTTACGTTAAATGAATTGTAATTAGTATTGAAAGATTCTGTTTATAAATTACAAACTATAACAGATAGAAAGGGAAAACTCTAATGGATGAGAGACTAAAAGTCTGATTATCTCCAGGTTTCCATTAGTACTTATTGTAGTTTAATATTACACGCGATTAATATTACTCGCGTGTATTAATATTTGTTTAAGTTCTAAAGTTTTTGCAATTTGATAACGCTTAGCGTTTTACTCTAGAACATTGCGTCTTTTTTTCTGGAAATTATCAGTTTTCTTGTGTGATTTTGCGCGAGTTTAAAGAATTAAACTGACGCAAAGAAATTAATAACTCGATGCGATTCGCGACTAAATATGCGGCTCGCCTACCGAGGTAATTTCGGAATAAGTTTCTTCTGCGAAAGAACATACATCGTTGAGGGCCTGAGAGGGTTTGAGGACCAGGTTCCGTGGCAAGGACGCCTCCGCTCGATTGGTATCGCCTGGCGATGCCGACACATCCGGTACCAAATATACGGCATGCTGCTCGAATTCTTCCTCCCTCAAGGTCGCGTGATCCCACTCGCTGGCCTCCATCCTTCGCTGCAAATAGAACCGGAAAATTCTTGTTAATTTGATTTGACATCGGGAAAATTTCGCGAAAATATTTGCTACACTGTTAGATGTTAAAGGATAAAATTTAAGCCAATACCTTGAGTTAAATAACATTTTGTTATTTTTAACTACCATATATGTCGAAATTTGTTATTTTAACACAAAACAGTATTGATATTATTTTAACTTCATTGGTTTAGTTGAGTTAACAGTGTTCTAGTTAAATTAACAACATATTGAGTAGGAACAGTGGCGACTTAGAGAAATAGTTAAAGATGACTCAAATTGAGTATAATTTGATACTACGAATTTAACAGTGTAACTTTTTTTTTATTTTAACAATGTATTTATTTACTATATTTGGTATATCTGATGCATTTACAATGCACAAGACTATATAAATTAGGTTAACAAAAGTAACAAATATTCTACGGAATGTTTCGTGCCATACATTTATCGCAAGATGCTCTTAAATGTCATCGTTATGAATTATAGCAGAAGTCACGTTTAGAGCTTAGAAACTCTTCCATAATCTTAGTAAATAGTAGAAGCTAATTTATCCCTCTGGCATCCCCGAAATGGCTATGTATAATCGAGTGACGGATTAAATGTCCTTTTAAGCGGGGATTATACATTAAGGAGGCTTCGAATTTTTATGATATGTTCTGAGATTATTAATTCTATCATATATATCGCTGTCACACGCGTGTTATCTACCACTAGTTATTCAATCCTACTGGCTAATGGTTAGGAAGCAAACTCGTATATTCCATTCTTGTGCGTTCAATAACACCTCGAATGAATAATCGAAGCTTCGCCATTGATACCCACTATTTTTTACCCATGTTGTTTTTTTTATAGATTTACGTTTTTTTTATTTTTATCGTCGAGCAAACACTCGATTAAGCTCAAGCGTCATCATTAAGTCTCGCAAAAGTTAACCGGCGCGATCGTTATCGAAGGAATAATTAAAAGTCCTGGCGGTGCGCAGTTCTATTTCTTGCTTCATGCATTCGCGCAACTCCGGGAAATTATAAATTTGCAATAAACTCAAATCGAAACACGAACTATTTGGGACCGGCCAAATTGATGTAGAAATAAGTAACAAATGAAATGAAGTTAACGATCAGTAATCAAATTGTTTCTCGATGCTTTGGTTTAGACAGTCACTCGAAATAACGTATAATCAATGATAAATTCGAATAATACCATCCGTTCACGTGCAGCTAAAGATTGTTAAAACATCGAATTAATATTCCAAAGGATTTTTCATCCGTTCACGTGCAGCTAAAGATTGTTAAAACATCAAATTAATATAACAACGAATTTTCCGAATATCAAATAATTGCTGGTATGGAAAATGTCATTGAACGAATCGCGATTCGCGATCCAGTTTTCCTCGACAGTGCCGACTCTTCAATTTGCGGTGGTGCAACACTTTAACACCGCGAAAGTGAAACCCGTCCACGCATTGATCGACTGCAGGGGTGGGAGGGAGGGAGAAAGGAAGGAGTAGCAGGGGGCGGTAGGGCGGACGGGGGCATAAACTCCGAAGTCCTCCCCGTCCGCTACCACCCGCTGAGGGTTTTCGCTACCCGGTGGATTTCGATTTCCATGAAAATCGCGCACCCCCGATATCGCAAACCGCTCGCTCGCGTATGCTTTCGACGCGATTTTCCGACCAAAAGCGTTTTATCACGTTCCCGAATTCTCGGGGAAATAGATTTCTTACAAAATAGATATTACATTTTCGAGATTAATTCTTCCGCTGAACCGTAATAAATGTAAATTTACATCCCGGAAGCTTCGTGATTTTTAGGCAGTGTGTTTCACGATCCTTTTTAAATCAATATTGTACAATTTCATTTTTTACAGATGCTTTTTTGAAGCTTGGGTTTTCGATTCGTACTCCACGACAAACAATCGGTTATTTTTACCTTCTTGTAATAGCTTTTTCGGAAATTGATTTTTGTATCCAAAGTCCTAAGTTTTCTTTATTTCTTCTTGTCTCGTAAAATATTGAAAGCACGAATATAATAATAATGCGGTTTTTCGACGCCAGACATTTCTTTCCCGGTTATTCCATATTCCGTGTGATATTTATTTTTCATCAACTTTCAGTTATATTTATGTATCTATTTTACTCTGGTTTAAACGGGAGAATTAATTTCTTATGTCATAGAGAATTAACCGATTGTTTCTCAATAGTATAATTAACTTAAATTATTTCTATATTAATATTTTTGTCGACACACCGGTATTTTATTTCAACACAAATTATAACAAAGCTCTCTTCCTTCCGAATCTTTCATCTTGCACTTCCCAAACAGAAAATGTGAAAACTGCAAAAAATTGTTCAAATAACACGCAATGCATCACATTTTACACAAAAGATCGGTGCACTCGCAACATCGCAGAAATTGCAGCCGCGACAGGATCGATCCCTAGCGAAAGGATATATATGGTGTTTTGGTCGGTCGCGGTACGCGTTGCGTTACGAATTTTTCTGTTTCTCTTATGTTACTTATAATTATTAATCTTTTTGTAATGAAAATAATACCTGTTATCACAATTTCTGATTATCCTTTCGCAATACTCCATTAAATCTATTCGACTCCATCTATCTACTGCTCTCTGTCGTGTAGTTTTTATTAAAACAATTATCCGCACATGAAAAGAAGACGTATTATGTATATCGGGAAATTTATTTTTTTCACCATTGTCAAGTTTGGAATAGCGAAGAGCTCTACACAGAACTCCATTTTTTCACCACCGTTAGTTCCGAGGCGGCAATGTCGGCTGCCTGCATCCCTGTATCTTTCACTTTAGATTCCAGAACATAGCAAAGGACTACTCGAAAATCCGTATTTTTATTTTGGACTTACATTGACTCTTATAGCATTCTAATTTGAACATAATATACTCCCTTCCTCATGCTTTGTAATCTTAACGTCGCGAGCCGGGTTTATGGTACTCACGGCTTTTGATGCATCGGACGCGACCAGACAAACTCCACGACGACAGCGTTGTTCTTCGAGGTGGAGACGTAGGTAGGTTCACCACCCTGGATCACCCGGAGAACACCCTTTTCCGTCGCGATCCCTTCGCCGTTGCGCGACCGTGTGTGCGCGGTACGAAGGGCTCTATAAACCGGCGGCCGCCTTTTACGTGATCCTGTGGTTCCTCAGGGAGACCGGCATCGCGCCGGCCCCGGTTGCACTTAGGGCCCGTTCTTCCTGGCCTCGCGCTAGCGGGCGACGCAGGGCGCCGTTTACCCTCAACATTTATCTAGCTCGATCTAATATCGCGCCGAGGGTTGCACGGAGGACGAGGGCGAGAAATTACGTCGGTAAGGCCGATCGCTGCCCCGGCTCTCTCGCTACCTAGGCGGTCCCTACGCGGCCACCTACGCGTCGACGACGCTTATCGATTATCAGGACATCGGAAAAAGGGAATTGCAATCGATTCCCACCGATCGGCCGACATTTCTCTGGTCCGTGTCGCCGTCGCGCTCGTTGTTTGTCAACAATGCCAATTCTCGCCGCCGCCGCCACCGAGCGAATCGCCGATCGGAATCTCCTCCTCGGAAAGTCGTTTCTCACTTTTCTTTTACTTCCTCCACCTTCCTCGAGAACGGGTCGAGAGCAAATCGATTCTGGCTTAAGGCTTAACACACGCGCGTCAACACTAGCGATTATTCACCACCGATCGGAGTATTTCTCTCGCGTTACCCTTCTCGAAGCGTCATTCGACGACGCGCACTATCACCGGCACTTTCACACACCTCGGCACCGATCTCTCGCTGTCAAGACCGTGTAGCTGGCAAACGCGACGCGCGAATTCTTTCTTCTTTTTTTTTCTTTTTGAAAAATCTGGAGCGCTTACGGGAGAACTCACTCGCGAAAAACTGGGAATCCGCGACGGTCCTCTCTTTCGCGAAGGGGTTGCGCCTCCGCCTTCGTGTGGTTCTCCTCGACGGGATGGCACACGCAAGAGAGCGCGGTGTGTGTGGAACTCGGGTAGACCTGACCTAGCCCAACGCGACTCGGCTTGGCTCTCCTCTCGTCCTCCTCCCCCTGCGTCGGTATTGGTCGGCGGATATACGTCGATCTCCCTTCCGCTTCCGTCAGTTCCTTTCTCTCTCCCTCTTCCTCCGTCTCTCCCCCTCTCGCGCCGTCGTTCTCTTTCTCTCTTTCTGACGCACGCGGACGCGGTGGTGCGCCCGCAAAGCTGCCAGACCAGAGCAGAGGTGGTGCATTTCTCTGCGCTGCGCTTTCGATCGACCCGTTGCCAGAGGTTTCCCCTCTCTCTCTCTCTTTCCCTCTGTTTCCCGTTTCTCTCTCCCGCTCTCTCTCTCTCTCTCTCTCTCTGCCTCGGTCCTCGCCACCCCGAATCCTCCCGTTCTTCCCTCTATGCGTCTCGCTTCACCGTACGCCACTTTCCAACCTCGTCTACCACCCCGATCCACTCCCCGCTCATTGCTCTTCGTTCGCCCCTACCATCATTCTCCTCCCCCCCCCCCCCCGTCTCTTTTTCTTTCGTGCATTTCCCTCTTGCATCCTTGTCTCGTCATCGCTATACCTTCCTCGTCTCCCTCTCTGTCTCTCTTCGGTCTTCCATTACCCCTTTCAACCCACCGCCCGCTTCGACGCGCGTGCAACCAAACCCTTTGGCGCACTACCCCTATTCCATACGTCGCTTTCTCCCTTTCTCTCGCCGTCATCGCGGCGCTTGTTTGTTCATCCCTCGTCGTTGTCGACGACAGCAGAAGACATGCGCCGGTCGGTTTCAAAGTTTAATTCTTCAGATAACTTTTTACGATTATAAGAAGCAGAAAGAAGATCGAGAAGGAACTCGGTTAACAGTCGGATGAAAAGTGTCCTTGGAAATTTTAATATTCGAAATTCGATATTCGAAAATATTGGCACGTCAATATAAAAGCTCAATATTATCTTAAACGTTATGCTAATATAAAAAATAATTTTAACCACTTTTAAGTTTAAGAAATTCAGAAAAGGATTTGTGATCGACGTATTGGTTTTTATTGATAATAAACTAAATATTATATTTGATTGTAAAATGCGCGTCTCTTTATTACTATCAATTATTAAATATTCTCTAATTTTTATCAACGAGACTTGTATAGTCTTAATTCAGGAATTATGGTTTTCTCTTAAAAAATCTTTCTCGTCGTGCCATTGTCACCTATTGTTTACACTATTTTCATCTTGCTATTTTCATGTTTTTTTCGGTGCATCTCTCTCGGCGTTTCTCCTTGTCTAGCGCCCTCTCGTAACCCCTTTACGGGAGAGAACGTACGTTTAACCCCTCCGACTACTTCAGACCACCCCTCCAACCATCTATTCTCATTCACGACTTGGTGCATGAAGCGGCTACGTACAATGCACACATACAAATCAGTAGAGAGCTTATTATTATCTAAAGATGACGATAGCGAAAGATATGAAAATATTAATAGTTCCCTCGAGTTACGTTATAAAACATTTTGCGAATTAAACGCGCGGCTCATTTAATTGATAAGGACAGTGCTCGATCGCAATTATTGTACGAATATCGTTGTTTCGCATACAAAGCGATTTATTATCGCGATTTATTATCGAATTATACGAAGACAGCAACGGTACACATAATGCTCGCGCGCCGCCGGCATACAAATCCTCGGTCGGTTTTTTGCGCGTCGACTTCGCGATCACCGTGTACGTGGAATCTGACTGGCCCAGACCCTGGCCCAGAGTCACGGCCATTCGAGATCGGTAACCCCGTTCGCTTCGACTATGCGAGAGAACGTGCGCGATTCTGACAAGTCTTTTTCGAATCATCGCGAGATTAGTCGATGAGGCCGTGGACACATCGCGACACATCGGGAACCAAGGTCGTCGAACTCTCGGAACTCTCGAACCCTAATCCGAAAGACCGGTCTCGCGATCATATCGCGCAAGGTTACGTGAGCGATCACTGGGGGCCCATCCGTACTTCGACAAATTCAATCATTAATTTGAAAAAGAAATACAAAGAAGTCGATTACTATAAAATTCTGAGAAAATGGAGAAACATCCTTTCTAGATTTAAATGTCGTAAAAATTCGAATAAGAAATCTTAATCTGATATTATACACTTTTTTTATATTCACCATATTCTTGGTACATATAGTATGTGATATATAAACATAAACATATATAATACTCACAAAAACGTATAAATTCAACATTATTTAGCGATTAACCTATGTGTCATGATTTATTATATTTATATTTATACGGAAAAAGAATAGGGGGTTTTCAATAGAGAACAGAAGCAGCAAAATACATATTTACCGCAGGACGATTCAGCACCAGCGCTATAATTCATTGGCGTTGTACTCGATCCCGATATTAATAGAATATTGGGTTACACATGATTTATTCGCAATTTTATCGAAATCGAGCAAACTGTAGAATTTCATTTGCGAGCAAGACTTTTTCTCCAACGCTGTTTTGACTATGTATTTTATTCCAAACTCCCATTACAAAATTTACATTTGACCGATCGTTAAACGTGGCGAGCGATCATAAAAAAAAAAGTGTATGTTTTCTCTCATACGCAGAGAAAGCATTGCAAATATAGATAAATAAATAAAATAAAGTAAATATAAAGACCCAGAACTATACGTGCCAATAAAATGTGTCGTTCACACATGCACCGTGGCAAATCCGGTCTATGTGTGAACGATGTTCTCGTATTACGCTACGATTATATGGCTGGCGAAGCCATTGACCTCCTCTTCTTTCTCCTTCACCTCCTCCACCGCCAGTGTGACGAAATTTCGGCGTGGGCATATACGCGATACGACAGCTCATGCCGAATTTCACTTTTCGACGGAGGAACACGTGCGATTCGCCTCGATGCGATTTCCACGATGGCGAGCCAGTCGACAACGCCAGTCCCGCCTAGCGAAAGAAGTTTCCGCCTGAATCGCCGACGACTACTAACCCAGATACGTTCCTCGGGGTCGTCGATCTTTTCTCTCCTCGGCAGGAGAACGACTGTGTACCAGATATATTAATTTCCTACGGCACGACCGCTTCTTGCACACGAATCGCAGTCGAACGTCGGCGCTTGCAAACTTTCAGAATAGTTCGTTTTCTGTAGGTCAATACTCTCGGATGCAGAATCCGAGCGTCGCCGCGGACGTTGGCATCGCAGTGATGCTATAATCAAATCGGGAATTTTTGTTACGACCTATAATTATTATTACAATCTGATTTTAATGTCCCATCATTAAAATAAATTTTTCTAAATAAAGTTAACCGACGAATTAATATTCAATGTGTCCGCCTTTCGATTTAATTAAAATTTATTATAAATAAAGTAAAATTTATTGATAGATTTTAACTTCTTTTAACTTCTTCTTAACTTCTTAATAATCTCTAAATTATGAATTAAAGAAATTTTCTTCGAAAAAAACGAATGTTTATTGATAATTCATACTTAGTTAAATAAAATATCAAATTAAAATTTCCTTAAAAAGATTATTACAACGTTACTCAATTAAAATTTTTTCTTGAAGATATAAAAATAATTGTGCGCCAAATAAAAATTAATTTTTCTCACTCTCGAGATCTTCGATCGATCTCCACATGCAATGAAACAAAAATATTTTATTCAGCTATTGGTGCCAAAGATAATTTCTGCGCATCTTTAATTTATTTCATCCGCAGATTTGTATAATCCCATATAAAAATATCGATTTTCAATTAAGAGAGAAATTGGGATGGCACGACGCCGCGTGAAAAAAAGTCGGAAAATCGGCGACGGCGACATGTCGCGCGTCACTCGTAGGTTTCTAATCAGACGCGTAATAGCGGCCACCACGGATAGAAAACCGAATGTGAACCGGAAACGTCGTTTCCATGGAACCCATTCGGATCGAAGCAAGGTGTTTCGCCTCCCCTCGCGCACGCCTGCCGCGCTCCGCGCACTCGTAACTGTTACTTTAGGAGTATATAACGGACCGTCCGGCGTACGTATATTCGCGTGTTTATCAAGTAGATTGCGTGTGCGTAAAGATTACGGCGAATAACGGGGAGAAATTTGTTTGCTGCGCGAGATGTCCTTAGAGCTCAACTACGAAATTGTATCATTGAATTTCTGATTTGATGGAACGTACGATATAGCTATATTTATTTTTACCTAATTAAGGAAGTCATAATTACATAGTAGTAAATGTAGTAATTACACAGTAGTAAATGTAAACAAGATGCTTATTTTCTTCATATTTTCGTGTATGTTTTGATTCCATGGCATGCATTATTTCGCATTATTGAGATTATTTCAATTATATAGTCCTGTTATATTTAATGAAATGTAATTATAGATCTCAGTATTTTGATTTTCATCAAAAAATATTATTTTGAAATATAAATATTATATTATATTAAGTTATATAAATTTTCTGGGAGAACATTTTATAAATATATTTAAAAATATATATTTATCAATTTTATTATAGTATATTATTAAAAAAGGAATATGTGCTTGTTATATATAAGGATCCCATTAAAGAGAAAGGGCTACACCCTTTCAATTTTTTTGGATCATTAATATCTCGAATTAAATAGCTTAATGTGTTTTTAAATGCATAATTTTGCCCTTCCAATATTACTGCTCCACCGCAAATAGATCAGCTCGGATTCTCGTGTGCATTCACATAGGTGCATGTTCAAGTTGAAGGGCGGAATAATTGAAACGCCACAGTGAGACGAATCGCACGCGAAAAACGGTAAATTGTTCCGCGGCAGGCCGGCGAGGATTCACTTTAATACAAAAGTAACGCGGAGTAACAGCACTTTCTACAAAAAGCTTAAACGCAACATGTCCCGGTTCAAAGCCTTATGGGTCATCGACCTCTCGCACTGTCGGTGAAGCATCGACCTTCTTACAGACATCCAGACCTTTCTTAACTGCGGAGGACATGAAACGAATATTTGATGCGCCTGATCACATATATATTATATATATAACCAGTTGTCCACC